CACAATCGGAGATAGGAAGACCAGAAGTTCAAGGTGATCCTTGGTTACAGAATGAGTTCTAGGCCAGCCTGGAATACATGAGATAGTCACGTGGCATTTATTAAGCATTTGATGCTTGTACTGTATACTTAACATTTAATGTGCTCATTAGTTTTAAATGCCAGGTAGACTCGGTAGTCATCTCGGAATATTGCCCTATTGAGGAGTTTCCTGGATCAGGGTGGCCTGTGGGCATGTCTGAGGAGAACTGAGGAGTTGTCTTGTTTGCTAACTGGTGTAGGAAGACCTGGTCCATTTCGGACCCTGCTTTTCTTTTCCCTCTGTTTGTTTGCTCTTTTTGTTCTGTTTTGTTTCTCTGTGTAGCCTTATGCCTTGGAACTTGGTCTGTAGACCAGGCTGTCCTCGAACTCACAGAGTGCACATGGCTGCCACTACCACCTGCTGATGTGCTACTCAGAGTCCCCAAACAGTGTGTATTGAGAGCTAGCAAGCAGAGAGCAAGCAGAGAGCATTTATTTTTTGCTGCTCTTTACTTGTGGATGTGATTTGACCTGCTTCTAGTTCCTGCCTTGATTTCTCCTCAGTGATGGACTAACCTGGAGTTGTAGGTCAAAACCCTCTTTCCCCCCTAAATTGCTTACTGTCAGGGTGTTTTATCACAGCAAGAGAAACTATAAAACTTTAAAAAATATTTTATTTTTAATTACACATAGATGTGTGTGCATATGTACATGTCTGAAGGTGTGTTTGGAGACCAGAAGAAAGTGTCTGATTTCCTGGGATCTGCCTGATGTGGGTGCTGGGAATTGAACCCTGGTCCTCAGGAAGAGGAGCCAGTGCTTTTTACCACCGAGCCATCTCTCCAGCCCTCCCTAAAACTTAATATAACATTTCTAGTAAGATAAACCTATTTATTTATATATCAAATATATTTCTACTTGTAGTTCATACTATTAGTTCAACATACGCATTATTTTGTATCACTTAGTGTATTTTTACTTAATTTACAGTATTAAATACCATTTAAAAATCGGGGAGAGCTAAGTATAGATGCTTGTAAGCCAAGACAGTCATCCAACATTTCAAAGGATGTAAGAAGATACTGTGGAATGGAGCAGGGAGTTCCCTTGTTACAATTAACTGAAGGCATGCATATTTACAGTGATATCCTATAGGAGGTACCTTTGGGCCATGCAAACTCACGTGTTGTCTTTTCTTTTCTTTTTGTGTTGTGTTTTCTTTACTAACTTTATAAAGGGTCTACACATATGTGCACGTGCTGGGTGAAAACCAAGGCTAGCCCAACACGCTCAGGTATGAAAGGCTGGTGTGTGCTTCTGACAGTGCCAGGTTCCGTTGTTGCTGTTCCTAAAAGGTGGGGTTTCATGCAGTCGAGGCTGGCCTTGAATTTACTACATAGCTGAAGCTATCCTCCTGATTTACCTACCTAGATCCTAATACAGGTACATACTACCAACATCCTACCATGCCAGACCACGGTTGTTCTAAATGGAAAAGAAAAGATCTATGTTTCCCAGTCTATTTCGATAAAGAGGTTATATTTTTACATGAAGCATTAGAAAACTCAGTTTTATAAAGTGATGCTTGAAGATGTCCTGAACTATTAGAGCTGGGTGAGGGTGGGAGAGAGGTCAGGGATGGATGTGATTTTGCAATCACCACTATAGAAATGTGGGTGGTTGCAGCAAGCTCTGTGTCAATTCCAGTGCAGCCTGTGGAGTGATTGAGTTTATTATTGCTTAATTGGGTCAAGTGGTTGTGGGTTTTGCTTTTGGCCAAGATGGTAGGGGCTGGAGTTTTCATGGTTATTTAAAATCTGTTCTTAACAGTGTTTTGGTAAGAAAGATGGTTCAGTGAGTACAACAAACCACATGCAAAGGTGAGAAAGTTGTATCTGTGTAACGGAGGAACGCTGGTTTGTGGAGGTTAGTGAGGGGGTTGGCTCAAGGAAGCATAACTGTAATGCCAGCATCTGATCAAGAGTCTGAGGCAGAAAGATAGAAGTTTGAGGCCAGCTTGGGTTGCAAAGTGAGACTGCTGAGAGAAAGAAAAAGAAAGAAAGAAAGAAAGAAAGAAAGAAAGAAAGAAAGAAAGAAAGAAGGAAGGAAGGAAAAGAAAGAAAGAAAGAAAGAAAGAAAGGGAGGGAAGGAAGGAAAGAAGGAAGGAAAAAAGGTGAGGAGGGAGGGAAGGAAGAAAGAAAGTATGTAAGAAAGAAAAAGAAGGGAGGAAAAGAGAGAAAAAGAAAAGAAAGCTTGAAAAAATGTAATGTCTACCGCTTATTAAGCACCTGTTGTATACCAGGCATTACCTGGTTCTCAGTGAGTTGCTTTTACACTTTATGCCCATATGTCAGGCGTGGGAACGAAGCATGAGTGAGTTGAGTAACTTGCCCACTGTAAATACTGGCTAGAACTCAGGCTCCTCGTAACGCCTCCTAAACCAGGGCAGGCTTGGGAAAACTTGACCCTTGGAGCAAGATCAGCCCTTCTTAGCTAGCTCTGCTAATCACAGCACTCTAAAACTTTCCTCCCTCCAGTCTTACTGTCATGATCCAAACACAGGCTGTCCATGTGTCTCCAGGGGGAAGTTCAGGATAGGAGAGGGTGGGGGCAAGGGAACTGCCTGGTCAGCTGGTTTCTTCCTAATCTTGCAAAATTCCTTTTGTATTGGTTACTGTAGCCTGAATCCTATGCGATACAGTGACATCGATAGTGTATAAGGACTGAGGTTTCCTCAGAGAGAGTTGTAGAGGCTGGACATTCTGCTAAATATGTGCCTGGCAGCTACTCCCAGCAAAGATTTCTCCTGCCTTGTTAGAAGTGCTAAGAGTGAGAGCCTACCTTCCAGGTGAGAGAGAGAGAGACAGAGACAGACACACAGAGAGAGACAGAGACAGGGAGGCAGAGACAGAGAGAGACAGAGGCAAAATTTCTCTGTATAGCTCTGGCTGTCCTGTAGACCAGGCTGGCCTTAAACATTGTCTTATGATTGCTGAGACTGGAGGTGTGTGCCTCTATTACCCTCACTTTCTCCCCCCCCCCCCCCCAGAATTTATAAATTTCTGAACAGAGATAGGCTTCAAGAATGAGTTAGGGGCCTCAGAGGTTAAGAGCACTGACTGCTCTTCCAGAGGTCCTGATTCAATTCCCAGCAACCACATGGTGGCTCACAACCATCTATAATGAGATCTGGTGCCCTCATCTGGCGTGCAGGTATACATGCAGAAAGAGCACTCATATACATTAAATGAAGAAATAAATCTTTAAAAAAGGTTAGGCTCTTTTCAGACTTAAACACACTTGAAGCTTAAAGGTTTGGTAAGGTAAGACAAGTTGCCCTATCAGAGCTGACGACAACATCATGTAAAATGAAACATGTTTGTTTAATACTATCAACTTCTGGGAAGAAGAGCTCCTGTAGATGAATGGATGGGTGCCCGGGAGTAGCTACATTGTCAACATCTTTACGAACACAGCAAACATTCAAGATGGCTAGAAACAGACTCCGTGGGCTAGGCAGGTAATTTTCCTTTGAAGAAACATTTTTTGGTCAATATTTGATGTCCTGTAGATTTGGCAAGGAGAGATAAATACATTTGTTCTTGGCTGCTTACCTAGTTTCCATTAAAAAAAAACAATTAATGATAGCTAGCTCCGCCATACGCCCAGCCCAGGCAGAAGGATTGAAGCAAATGTGAAACAAGTCTGCTGTACACATGGTTCTAGACTAGCTAGGGGTTGTGGTGAGACCCCCATCTCAAAAACCAAAATGTGACTAGTAAAATGGCTGAATGGGTAAAAGGCTATTGTCACCAAACCTGAATGGAATCCATGTAATAGGAGAGATCTGACTTCCCCCAAGGTGACCTTTGACCATGGCACAGATGTGCAGGCATACACAACACAAAAAGTGTAACAAAACAACAACAACATTTTAATTATAATCAAACACAAGATACCAAAAGCTTGGGGGATGGGCATGGTAGGGGAACGAATGAGGGTTCCTCTGAAAATTATCATGAATTCGGCTTTGCCTTCCTTGTGGTGGAAATGAAATACAGCTCTACGAGCTCTTATTTTACTCTGTGTATAAAATACTTTGTGTGTGTGTGTGTGTGTATGTGTGTAGGGCGGTACATGTATATATGTATCCATTTGGGTGTCTGCACGTGTGTTTATAATATAGGTGTGTATGGAGATAAGAGGTTGAATTTTGACCTTTGTGAGTGGAATGGCAGCTTTGTTTTTGAGACAGGGTCTTATCCTTAACATAGGGGTAAGATTTTTGGACATTTAGTTGGTCTGACCAGTCAGCGAGCTCCGGGGATCTGCCCATCTCCCACTAGCACTTTGTCTGCCATGTCCCAGGGGATTTGAACGTAAGTCTTTATGTTTATGTTGCAGGCACTGACAGACTGAGCCATTTTCCCAGTGCCCCTTTAGACCAAATAGATGAGAAAACAGTGTGTGCTGAGATCCTGAGACATTTGTTCAGGACTTTTTCGTGTTGTGCGCCAAATCATTTAGGGTCAGGGCAATTTCTCAGACTCCTTATGGAGTCCTGGTGTGTGTCTCCAGTAGGGCCCAGGTATATATGGATGCTGTCATTCTTGGAGGGGTTAGCTAGGCAAAGTTTTGTTTGGTTTTGGTTTTGGTTTTTGTTTGTTTGTTTGAGGCCAGTTTTCTCTTCGTAGCTCTGGCTGTCCTGGAACACTCTGTAGAACAGGCTGGCCTTGAACTCAGAGATCCACCTGTCTCTGCCTCCCAAGTGCTGGGATTAAAGGCCACCGCCCAATTTAGCTATGAAAATTCAACGTCAGAGATGAATTCTAGATGCCAAGTTCCCTCCCCACACCAAGTATTGTGTTTGTTCAGATTCTCTTGTTCAAGCAGTCTTTATTTATTTATTTTTTTGTTCCTCCAAAACTGACTTTCAGACTTTACAGTTTTTTGTTTTGTTTTGTCTTTTACTGCTACCAGGTATTGAACCTAGGACCTGATGCATGTCAAGTGCTCTGTTGCTGAGCTGTGTTCCTCAGAGGTGACTTTTTACATTTGAATCTTATTCCATCTTCGTTTTCATCCCTCGGTACTGAAGAGGCCCAAGTCTTGTGTGAAACATTTGCACTCAACACCTGATTAAATATGAGTTGCTTTTCTCATGTATCTTGTTGGGGATATTTACATTCATATCTATGAACTGTGATACATGTATATTTAAATGTCTATATATTTAAATGTAACTACCAGGGCCTGGAGAAATGGCTCAGTGATTAAGAGCACCATCTGTCTTACAAAGTAACCCAGGTTCCATTTCCAGCACCCACATCTGTAATTCTGGTTCCAGGGCATCTAACACCCTCTCTGGCCTCCTCCGGCAACAAGCACAAAAGTGGACAGACATCCATGTATGTAAAACACTTATGCACATAAAATAAGTAAATAAAAATTGAAAATTATTAAGTGTGGATGTAAGGGCTGGGGGATGTATCTCATTTCCTCTAGTACTTGCCCAGCTTGTGTAAGGCCCTGGTTTGATCCCTAGCACCACAGAAAACTGTTATTTTTCTTTTTCTTCAAATCAGTCGTTTTTGTTTTGCTTGTATTTACTTAAGCTGAGTGCAGTGCAAATGCAAGTAGTCCCAGCTTTTCTGGAAGCTGAAGAGGATAGCTTGAGTCTGGGAGTTAGGGTCTATCTTGGGTAACTAATCACAAATAAATAGGTAGATAGATAACCTTTTTTTGGATGGGTGGGGTCTTTTTTTTTTTTTTTTTTTCATGGATAGATTGGATCTTTAGTCTGTACCCAGAGCTGGCTCTGACATTTCCATATCCCATGTGTCAGCTACCTTAAATACCTCTCCTTTTTCTTTGGCTCTTTGTGCTAGTGTGTGTGTGTGTGTGTGTGTGTGTGTGTGTGTGTGTGTGTTTAGCATTTTATTCTATTCTCCCCTCTTCTTATCCTTTTTTTCATAGAATCAGTTTAAGTAAATTCTTCTCTCTTAAGCTTCTCAGGCTCTCTGATGGCTTGAGTCTGAGATGTCCTCAAGTACATGGCTTTCTTGTTTAGTATATCCCTAGCAGATCATGAAGTGATCTGGGGCTGAGGATATTATTTGTTGAAGGAGTAAACGATCAATCAGGGTCAGAGAGGAAGGCCCTAAAGATGATTATAAATGTTATGAACCAAGGTATTTCCCAAACATGGAAGGTTTTGAAATAACTGTGTTGATCAATGCCATTTTAAACAAAGCTGAGGGTGGTTTGTACAGAGGTGGTGTATGGAGGACTTAGACCTTGGAGTTAGGCACTGGTTACGATGCCTGGTGCCAACAAAGAGACCCACTAACCCTGAAGATATATATATCTTAGGACTAAGACGTTCCGCCCCCAGGGATGCAAACAGCAGAAATGTGCACAGATGTTCACCAAAGAACGATAACAAAGTCCTTATCATCCCACGGAAAAGTCAGAAGAAACATAGGACGAGGCAAGTCTTGTAGCTTATTTATTCCTGCCCACCAACGTCATTAACATCATGTTCAGCGAAAGGAACCAAGACAACGAAGTATATGCAAAAAGAAAAAAAGATGGAAACCGTATGGGATGAATCTCTGGTGTTACAATCAGCGAGTGTAAGATAGAAGAGCTTACATCTTGGTGCTCATAAGACGGGAGTACAACAAAGCCACAAGGACCTAATGTTTCTAGGAGGTAGTTAGTATACTTATAGGTGACATATGGCAGATAAGAAAGCATGTGCATGATATAGTGAGATACCTGTCACAGGATCTCACCACAGCCTAGGCTGGTCTCTTAACTTCTGATTCTCCTGCCTCTACCTCCTCCTCCTCCCTATTGCTGGGTTTATTAGTAGGCACCCAGTAATACTCCATCTTTAGATGAGGGCACATCCTTTTCCCCCTTGTTTATTCTGTGTGTGCCTCTGTTTGTGTGTTATATGCCATATGTTTGGATTCCCAAGGACAGATTCAGATCTAGAGTTATAGGAAGTTGTGGGTTGTCTGATGTGGGTGCTAGGAACTAACCCAGGTCCTCTGGGAGAGAAATAAGTGCCTACAACTACTGGGTGATCTCTCTGGTCACTTTTTTTTTTGTTTTTTGTTTTTGTTTTTGAGACAGGGTTTTTTCTTAGTCCTTGGGGGTTTGTTGTCTTAATTCTATTGTTATGAAAAGACACCGTGACTGCAGCAACACTTATAAAAGAAGACATTTAATTGGGGTGGCTTATAGATTTAGAGGTTTAGTCTGTTATCATCATGGCAGGAAGCATGGCTGACACAGTGCTGGAGAAGTACCTGAGAGGTCTACATCCAGATCCATAGGCAACAGCAAGAGAGAGACACTGGCTTGGCTTGGGCTTTTGAAAGCTCAAAGCCTACCCACAGTGACATACTTCCTCCTACCAGGCCACACCTACTTTAACAAAGCCACACATTATATATCATTCAGATACAGAAGCCCGTGGGGGCCATTCTTATTTAAACCACTATAGGGTTCATGTAGCCCACGCTGGCCCTGAATTGCCTATACAGCTAAGGATGACCTTAAACTCCTAATGCAGCCTCCTGAGTGCTGGCCTGTAGAAGTGCATCACCAAGTTTGGCTATGAGGGCTCATCTTTTTTTCTTTTAATGTTTGTTTACTTTTTAAAATTAAAATATAATTACATGATTCCCCCCTTTCAATTCCTCCCTTTAATCCGTCCCATGTAACCCCTTTGCTCCCTCTCAAAACCATGGCCTTCCTTTTTCTTTCTTTCTTTATAAACTTAAAAAAATATATTTATTTATTTTTATTATGTGTATTGGTGTTTTACCTGTGTGTATGTCTGTGTGAGGGTGTCAGATCCCCTGGAAGTGAAGTTATAGGCAGTTGTGAGCTGCCATGTGGGTATCAGGAATTAGAAGAACAGACGGTGCTCTTAACCACTGAGCCATCTCTCTAGCCCCAGCTCTTTTAAGTTATTATTATTAATGTGTGTTAGTGTGCATATGTAGGTTGTATGCCGAATATATAAATACAACCTGCTTAGCCCATTTAGTGTGACTTGTATGTAAATATGATTTCAGGCTGATCGCTGGGTATTGGATAACTTATTGAAGGGCACATTCCTCGAGAAGACTTCCTTCCGCTCTCAGCGTTCCTTAGTTGTCTGTAGTTCTTTGTGGAGGGATGGGGCGACAGGAGGTTTCCCACTTCCGCGTCAGTATGACGTTTTCAGGTCTTATTTAGGTGAGGTTTGCCTGCTATTTCTAGGAGGCACAATTTCACAGCCGATTTCCTGTTGCTCTGGCTCTTACAATCTTTCCGCCCCCTCTTTTGCAATGTTCCCCAAGCCTTAGGTGCAGGAGTGGCGTTGTAGGTGTGCACTGGGGCTGGACACCCCACTATCATTTGTTCTTTGTATTTTGATTGGTTGTGGTTTTTTGTAATGGTTTCTGTCTGTTGCAAAGAAAAGTCTCTTTGATGAGGGATAAGAACTGTACTTACATGCAGCTAAGAATTATGTTTATGGTTTGTTTCATTTGTTTTTTTCGAGACAGGGTTTCTCTGTGAGGCCTTGGCCTGTGTAGGACTTGCTTTGTAAACCAGGCTGGCCTTGAGCTCACAGAGATCTGCCTTCCTGAGTGCTGGAATTACAGGTGTGCACCACTGCACCCAGCTTGCAGCTAGGAATTATTTTACCAACAACAACAACAATAAAATGTTACCGAGTTCATTAAGATGTCTTTAGAAGTGCTTTGGGTTGCTGTCAGCTTCGGGTAAACCCCAGCTTTCTCGAATGGCTGTGGAGTCAGAGGGCACATTTTGTAGTTGGACAGGACCATGGGGGATTTCTGATCTGACATTTCATTCAGTAAAGACAAGCCTCTTCAGCTTTAGTGGTACCCAGATCTGGTACCTGTAGGCACAGCAAGCTGATGCTGCTGTTCTAATGACTTTATTCTACAGAAATGCAAATAGACTCAGAGAAGTTAAACAATTTGTCCTAAAACAAACATCCAGTTAGATCAAACAGGTCCAGTCTTAGAGGCTACTTATCTATCTATCTATCTATCTATCTATCTATCTATCTATCTATCTACTCATAAACAGGAGCACCTACCCTGGCCTTTTCTTCCCATTAGGTGTGCTAATGCCTTTGTAGCTAAAACAGATAAGAGGAGAGGGCTGAGTAGGGTGTGTCCTTAATTCCAGCGCTCCAGAGACAGAAGCAGGATTTTGTGAGCCTTGGGCTACCTAGTGAGTCCCAGGTCACCCAGGCTACCCAGGAAGGGGAGAAAGGCTGGGTGCTTTGAAATATAGAATGAAAATAGTCCATATCAATGATATTAGAAAAATGCTTGTTATATACCTTTTAATTATCCATCATTGCAAAGCGCTTTAATCTTCCCTTCCTTATAAAAATCTTATTAATTGTCTTTATTTGTTTAGTGTGTATGTGTGCCTGCTCATGCCACAGCATATGTGTGTGGTTGGAGGACAGCTTTCAGGAACTGATTTTCTTCTTCCACCATGTGGGTCTCCGTGATTGAGTTCAGGCCATCAGGCTCAGGAACGAGCACTGTTACCCCGTGAGCCATCTTGCTGGTTCTCAGTCTCTCATAGATAGGACCTCACTCTATAGCCCTGGCTAACTTGGAACTTGCTATGTAGGACAGCCTATCCTTGAACTTGTACAAATCTTACCTCTCCCTCCCTAGCGCTGGCCTTTCAGGCTTGAGTCACCACTCATGATGGCCTTGATCTTTACCGTAGCATTTTCAAGAATGATTTTGGTCAGTAAATCTCCCATAGGCATGCTTTGCCTCTCGTTAGAAGCAGAGGCAGAATTCAGTGGCAACCCTCTAGCTGTGTCAGCTGAAGGAGTTAATTATTCCTAATCTCTTGATCCTTGTCACACTACTGTGCTATGCAATAATACACTAAAGAATTTTCAGAAAGTGTTGGGGACTCCATGGAGTGCTCTGCCCTAAAATCTATTTTGTGGAGTTCAGCTGGGCTTTGGGATCTCCA